GTTTTTCACAAGGTTATAGGTTAGTAATTTTGAAATTACTTTGTGTACATAATAAAATTGAACAAATAAGTCAAATTGGTTTAGATAATGAGAACTGGGCTTCTTACCCGTGGAGAAAGAAGTTATAAATAAGGAAAGAGAGAAAGCAAAATGTACCCTCTAGTTTTGGACTAGAATTAGAGGTATTTGCATAAACTCATGGTTATGCACACATACACACAAATATAGACCGAAATGCAGATGTGTGTATGTGTGGGTTAATGTACATCCGTATATTTCCTATCTCTGTTTACTGAGAGGACATAGGAGCAGTAACATCCCAGCGCTCAGATCTTAAACCATTCTCCAATACAGAAAGCCATGGCTCCTAGGAGAAGTGGTTGATGATAGGGCTGGGGCAGGTAAAAACAGAGATGAGCCTCGAGCATCCTGTGGTTACAAAAATATAAGGATTCCAAGGAGCTTCTAATGGCCAAAGCTGGAACAATTAGAGCAACAAAATAATGCCAATGTTGGATTTGAATCCACAGAATAAAATAAATATCCATGAGTGTATTCCTTTTCTGTTCTTATAACAAATTACAGCAACTTGAAACACCCATTGATTATCTCACAGGCTCCATGGCCGGGAGTCCAGGCACAGCTTAGTTGGATCCTCTGCTCAGGGTCTCAAGGCTGCAAAGTGTTGGATGGTCCCCGTTCCCATCTGGAGGCCCAGCTCGGGTAGAATGAATCTGCTCCAGTCTCCTTTAGGTCCCTGGAAGAATTCACTTCCTGTGGTTGTAGAGGGAGGTCCGCAGGTTCACGTGGCTCAGGTCACATCATAGAAGCTGGTTTGTTCGAGGCTGTCAGGGGCATCTGTCAGCCCAGAGACGACCCAATTCCTCTTTTACCACCCAATTCCTCTTTTAAAGTCAGGCCAACCTAGATCACCTCTGTTTTGGTTATTTCAGAGTCTGCAAGGGAAGACTTTAATCACTCCTGCAAAACACTTTTAACATTACTATAGAACATAATTTTAGGAGTGATAGTCCATCATTTTTGTTATATTCTTTGATGAGAAACCAAGTCACAGGTTCTTCCCTCAGTCAAAAGGTGGAGATGACATAAGACTGTGACTCACTGGAGGTCGTCATATAACGGTGTCTGTGAGACCACGTAGATAGAAATCGTCCAATAAATACATAAACAAATGGAGAAGAAGAGAGAGTTCCTCCTCACAGTCGACTCGTGTTGATGCATGTGGAAGGAAAGAAAGAAGGAAAGAATCACCATTAGCAAACACCACTGTAATAAATGTTGCAGACAAGACTCCCTAAGGGATGCAAAAATTAGTGGGTACAAGTTTGAGTTTCGCCTAAGTGACTTAATCAACTACAAAGAGCAAAATAGTCACTTTATATTGGCGGAACTTGGTAGACACCAACTTGACCAAGTAAGGTAAACATCACCAGAAATGAAACGTAAAAATGTCATGAACCCCTAGATAGAATGAACTGAGAAGGACATGAAATTTTTGTGGTGCACTTCCCAAAATCAATCACCTCATTTCAATCATGAAAAAATACCAGACAACCAAATTGAGGGACACTCTTCAAAAGTGTCATGGTCATAGAAGGAAAGAAAGACTGCGGGGTCTTTAATGCCTAGAGGAGACTAAGGGGAAGTGACAACTAAATGCCATGTGAGGTCCTGGAACAGAAAAACAGGCATTAAGTGGAAAATTGGTGAAATTAAAATAAGATCTTTGGTGGTTAACAGTATACCCTGTTAAGTTCCTCTTGTCAATTATATTATGGCTATATAAGATGTGAACAGTAGGGGAGGTGGGCTTAGGGGTTGCAGGGGACTCCTTGTTCTGGTTTTATAACTAAGTCTAAAATGAATTAAAAATAAAAGTGGTTTTTTTTAAATAAAAAATCATAGTATAGACTTGTGCTGAGAGTCAAAAGTGAAAAGCAAAAGTCAGCAAAAGTAGAAATTCAGGTGACTTACTGATTTTCATTTTCAGTTTGTGCAAAATTTTGCACAATATTATGTGTATGATCACTGGAGAACAGAAAATGAGTTTTTATTTTAAAAATCATAGTATAGACTTGTGCTGAGCATCGAAAATAAAAAGTAAATGGTTATTGGAGAACAAGTACATAGATGTAAAGTGGTGAAATTTATTCTAACTCCCAGCATAGGTCTTTCCAGTTGTAATGTTTTTCCATTGTGCTTAATATCATTATAGACATAGATGAGGGGAAAACATGGGAGTTGTTTCAAAAACTCAGTTTTAATGTGAAAGCCTACTCATAAAGTTGGTTTGTTCACTATGCATGGTAATATTTTGAAATAATTACCAAATTTTGCTTAGAACGTTTTACTTGCGACAAACAAATTATATGAAAGTCTACGGTTTTTAAGGTCTTTATTAAATTGGTTCAAAGAGCTCTGAACCCGTCGTCTTTAGATAGACGTTGGCCTCAAATGAGTCTTCATGCTGTATTTGTTAAACATGCTTTCTGAGTCATCATCTGCTAGGACTGTGCTTATCCCTGTGCTTACGGAGAATGAAGTTATGTCTTAATAACTGAAACTGTTGCTGGAAAGATAGAGGTAAAAGCACATGGAGGACTGAGAACATTTTGGGCAAATCTGTCTTTACCATGAAAGGGTTCTTGATTGTTTCTTTAAGGGATGGAATTAATAAATGAATTTTCTGATTGCTTTAGAGAGGTATCTGTTAGAATTGCACCTAACAACCAGTAGTGCTGCTTAGTGGCAGTATTTTATGAATTCACAAGATGGGTTTCTTACAGCCTTTGTGTTTTTAGTTGAATGTTATATGTAAGAGCAGTGCCGTGGGCGTACATAGCGTAAGTAGTGGTGTCCTGTGTAAGTAGAATTACTGTTTTTACTGTCATGAGTCTATGAATCCAGCCTGTCATGCAGAAACAATCATTAGAATGTAAGCACTTACTGTCTTAGTGCAGCTGATTCTTTAATGACATTTTTTCAAGTCAGGATTTGGCCGCAGAGTGCTTTAAATTTCTAAATGGACTGTAGGCTGGAACCTTAGGGTGTTCCGTAGGGAGCCAGGACCCGGAGCGGACTCACAGCCACTTTCGGGTATCTGTAGCCAATCCAAGGACCAGTGTTCACCGTTGAAATTGTTTTCATCCAGAATGTTAAGCGTTTTTTACTTTACATTTAATTGCTTGCTGTTAATGCTGATTTGCTACAAATATCGAAGAGTAAATGGCTGGTTAAACAAATTCTGTGCTGTTTGTCTGGGTCTCTGATCCCCCTAGCTGGGTCTGGAACCCTGGGGGAGTGACTCCTAGTGGTTTCACAGCGCAGCATTTTTCTGCATCTATAAATTCAGGACTTGGTTTTCACTTTCGCTGAGAGTAAGAGTGGCCGTTGAACCCCGGAGCACTCGGAAACACATTCCTAAGTTTTCCATTCTTTTCTACATGTGAGAAGCCTAAACTCTCAAAAACAATTTGAGAATTTTTTTATAGTTATATTTTAACAACTATTTCTAGCTGTTACCTAAATGGAAAATCATCTCCTTGCCTCTCTGGCTGTCACTGTTATTAAAATTAGCATGAGTGACAGTCCTCAGAGACCCTGGGGACTGATCCCTTCCTGGTCTGTGCCCTGGCTACCTGGCCTCACAGAGATGCACGGTGCAGAAATACGAAAGGGTGGTTGTTCAGTGTAAGACAGTGGGCTCTGCATCGTGACCTTCACCAGGGTGAATTGGCGCCAATCTTCAGCACATTAATTTCCGTCTCTGCTCAAATGTAATATACAGAACTATGGCAGAGTGGGTCCTGTGGTGTCAAAGCGGTTATTAGCTTGCTTAGCATGAGCACAGACTCCACACCAGAGGGCTACACAGGGAGATAACATGTATGTATGTATATTTCTGTCTTTCTAACTTATTTTAAGCAAAGGGAGAAGTTAGAAGATAAAATAGCATGGTCCCCATGCCATGAGAGCATGTGCCTTAAGGACTGTGCTAAGTTCAACTGCCTTTTTTTATTCTATATTTTTAGTCTTAGAAATGTGTCTGAACGTCTGAGCCAGAAAGTGAGTTGAGATCTCAGAGTACCTCTGATGATTCTTAAATTTCAAAATCCTGTCTCCTTCCTTCCCATGACTCGTTGTCTCTCTTTAATTAATAAAATAAGTATCTTTTTCTTTAATTCATATTAGACCAAGGGCCATTAAATAACCAAGATTTATTAAATATTTGTTATGCTAATGGAATTATTAAAGGAGTAAAAGACAGGATTCCTCCTTCAAGGAGCTTACATTATATAGTTTGAAAAGACAAATTGAGCACACATTAAATAAATGGAAATCAAAGAGTTGCTAAATCTATGCTATTGCTTTATTAGCAGTAAAGATCAAAAGAAATGCAGAATAATATTTACTTCTTTAGTGCTAGCATACACTACATTTTATAGTCCTATGTTTTATGTTTTTAATGGAGGTCTTCTCATAAGTTTGTATTGAATCTGATTAATTATAAAATATTTTTTATACATCGGTTGCTATTACTACATTGAACAAGTATTAACAATGAAAACTTGTGGGTCACTATGCATGCCTGCCCACTTAGAGACTAGTTTAAACTCAGGAGGATGAGCTCAGTTCATCAGTCTTGGATTTTGTTAATACATTAAAGAAGTGTGTGTTGGGGGATTTCAGCTACTAATTGATTTATCTGTGAGTGTGGGAACTCATCCAGTAAGAAATTGAACTTTTCTGGAGGTCATTTGCTAAATATGTTAATGCATGTTTCCTCTTCGTTTTACACACACTCACACACACACACACAAAGGATGAAATATCGTGCTTTTTGAGCTATGTCTTTTTCTGTATAGGGGCCATATTTGTGACAATAAAGACTGAATTCATGTAACTGTGTCTTCGTTTTGCACAATTGCAGTATTAATGCAAAGGGTTTCCCATCCCCCTTCCCCTCCTGTGTTTTACAGGCAGTCAGATGCCTCCACAGCCACCCGGGAGCCAGTCAGAATCTAGTTCCCATCCTGCCTTGAGCCAGTCACCAATGCCACAGGAAAGAGGTCAGTTTTCAACTCATCTCTTACATACCGTTGTGTTTTGAGTCTGTGAGGCTTATATGAATTTGCTTACCTACGCATATCCTTATAAATAATTTTTAAAGGATATTATGTTTCTTCATCAGATGAACAAAATAAACAAGAACCTAAATGTAACAACAAATATGGAAAAGAAGGTTGCATTCTTGCAGATTGGGTGAAGTTTTACCAAAGCACAGTTCAAGACTCAAAGAATATATATGTCCACATAGAACCATGAAGCATAGTTCATACATGACTATAGTCTGATATTTGATCTAGCTATGTAAAAATGACTCTTAATGATTCAATTTGGATATTGGTTCTAGTGAAGTAAAATGTTAGAGTGTGTACGTTTAGCTGCTTTGATCAATTATTTGTTCCATGTTCCAAAATGATCAATTGTTCCAAAATTATAAAATTTTTAATATTAAAAATTTAAACACATAGTCAGACCTTGTGTTATAAAATTGTGGGGTCTTAGAACTGGAGCCAACTTGAAAGATCATAGAGTCCAATCACCACAATTTATAATAAAGAAACTGAGGACCATAGGGGTTCTTATGACTTCTTCATGCTCAGAGGCGAGTTAGTGCCAGAGCCAGAAAAAAAGAAGTTGGGCTTTTCCTGAAGCCCTTGAACATTCCGGCTGGCCCATATCTGCAAACCCTTTGACCTTCAGCTCCGTTCTGCGTGCTGACCTCCATCTCTTATTGCCTTTGGCCTTCATTTATTTACCTCTGTCTTCTTCCTCCCCTTCAGTAGTCAAGCTACTTTTGGTGGTGGTGGTGTAACAATTTTAATCCCAGTTAGTGTAGACCACAGTTTACAAGCCTACTGCACCATCTGATGCTGTGCCAAGTCACTCCCTGCCTGAGAGTCAAGGATTGCCATCCCGCCCAGGAAAGATGACACTTTTCTTCACTCCCCACCCCCCCTTCCTCTCTCACAGTCACCCAAAAGACGGAAGTTGGTAGCTGATATATTAAAGGTTCCTGACTCCTAATGTTTATAATTATTTCTGTATGATTTATACAGATGGTGATTTGCTTCTAATTAGAAGTAAAAGGTTTTAGTTATTTTGCATGTTAAAAACTCAGTACCACATTATTTAGAGAGTAATGCCAGTGAAAAAATGGATTAACCTTATCTATGCATCACTTGTGTTGAAATGAATGTTTACTAGGAATAAAATGAAATTTTCATTTTCTAACACCTTTCATATTTAACTTTTTATATTATAATTTAATGTATAGTTAATACTTTCATTCCCTTATCGAGATACCGCAATATGTTTTAATCATGGAATAGTTGATGGTTTTCAAACTTTAGGGTGCACGAGGATCACCGGGAGATCGTGTGCAGAGAGATTGCTAGGCCACACCCCAGACTTCTGAGTCAGTAGGTCTGAGTGGGACACTGAAAATCTGCATTTCTGACAAGTTCCCAGGTATTGCTGCTGCTGCTGACCTGAGAGCCATACTTTGAAAACCACTGCTTTCTAACGATACTATATTTTACTAGTTGTACAATGTGTGCATTGGTTTCTCTCAACTTTTCACTGTGACCGCCTGTATACCTCGCATCCTCTCTATTATTTATTGCTTGTTTTGTGTTAATTCCTCATGTGGTGCTGGTCATCTGGAAGACATTACAAAAGTCCATGGAAAGCATACTAGGCCACACAAGCATCTTCTCCCCAAGCTCCCTTTCTTGGCCGTGGGTTTCACCTGCATTGCATTGCTGGGTCAGGGGAGTAGAGAAAAAAGTACTAGAGAAGTTATCCTGCACTGAAAGCCTGCTCAGGCCAGACCCAGAGCTAAGATGAAGACATGTGTTATCTCATTTAAAGCGCACTGTGAGGGCCGGCCGAGTGGCACATTGGTTAAGAGCTGGCTTGGGACGCCAGAGGGCCCCGGTTCGGATCCCACATATGAGAGCCTGTGACACTGCCCTCTACAGCTAAGATGCTGAACAACAGCTCTACCTGGAGCTGGGCTGCCGTGAGTTGCCGGCAACAGGGTAGGCTGCAGCCCCTGCTGCAGTGGGTTGCCATGGGCTACCGTGTGTAGCCAGCAGCCAGCATGAGCGGCCAGCAGCCGCCGTGAGCGGCCGTCCAGAAGCCGCGACTGATCTGCCTCTCCCAGGAAGAGTGCAATGACGGTGCCAACTTGGGCCAATGAAGCAATGTCCTCCACAACTAGACTGAAGAACAAAACGACAGCAACTTGTCTGTTCTCCTTCCCCCAATTCCCCAATAAAAAAAAATATTTTAAAAAAATAAAAAATAAAGAGCACTGTGACCCTGTAACCTCATCCCACTGGGAGAATTCTGCTGCGTTTGCAATCACGAAAGGATAAGAGGTACCTTATTTGAAAGTACTACAAGTCGAAAATTTATCACTAAGAACTAACAAGAGAAATCCCTCCAGATCGTCCAACAACGTCTTCTCCAACCCCTTCCAACTGATGATATGTGTTTAAGAAATTTGAAAATATAGAAAACCAAATGTGAAGGATGAGGAACCATAGTTAAATTAAACTTTTAACTTAAATGAAGATATTTGCATGGCAAAATCTAGGGTAGTCCTGCGATGTCACTATATGGAGACTACTATGTTGATGTGTTTGTTATTTTTTCCCTCTGATTGTCCTTATATGTAGCGTGGTTTTTGTCACATAATGGATACATAACAATCTGGGTAGTTATAATGACCATGTCCTTCAAATAGCAAATATAAATTTTAAAATTTTCTAAATCTGGATTTATTTTTATGAACATGTTCCCCAAACTTTCTCTGAAAGACTGTGCTAGACACGTTATGAGCATCCTTTGTGTGCCTTTTGTTGGTTGGGCAGCCCCCCAAAAAGGAAAGCTTCGTATTTCAGAATGTTAGGTGATCCTTTGCCAACTTTCCTTAAAAGTTGGGTAGCAAGAATTATTTTAAATGGCTTTGTTATTTGTTAAAATCTAGGAAGAAATGTTATGTCCTAATGACATTTGATCAGACGTTTTAATGGCAAATTACACAGTCATTTCAGTGCTTTGGTGCAATAATAAAAAGGCTTTTCTTGTTGGTTTTACCATCATTTGGTGGTGTTCCAACAGCACCTACAGTGCAAAGTAGAACTAAGAAAACACTTGCTAGAAAATTCTCCAGTGTTGACTTCCATGTTTAAATTTAATTTAACTTCATGTATACCTTTGCAATTGATTTATCTCCTCCCTTATTTAGGGAAGTGAAAGAAGCAGAGAGGAAAAAATATATTGATGAGTTAGGATCTTATAAAAAAAATGTATTCTTTGTCAGAAATCATGGACCTTAATAGACAAGAACATAGCTTCTGTACTGCTGAGTGCTAGAATAACCAAACTGAATAGTTAGTTCCTTTTACACTTATTTTCTTTTAATAATAAGATTAAGATGCAAAAGATTCCACAAATGTACACATTTTCTTTAATATATCCACAGGAGATAGATTTTCTTTAATGGCAAAGACTCTAGAAACACATGTGCCCAGAGACAACTACACAAAGCCAGAGATGCAGTCTTCTCCTGTTTGGAGATGCAGTTTTCTGGGTCCTCCCCAGAGTCCTCAAGGGGATGTTGACCTACAAACCAGGAGCCTCGGTCCCTCCAGACCCGAGAAGCTGAACTTAGCCCTGCCGTCATTCCTTCCTACTTGGTCCTTGTATCCTCAATCAGGAAGAACGTTGAAAAACTATGTATGTACTCTTATTTAGGAGACTCCTGCAAACCTGAGTCTGTCCTAGAACCTGAATCACACTGGCAACTGAAAGCCACCTCCTGTTGCCAAGGTTGCTGAGTCAGTGCACTGCCTGGTGGCCGCTGGTGGTTCTGGTATTGAGTTTGTCAAAGGACATCAGCCCCAAATCTGTTTCCCACATTATATATAGGTGGAAATAACTGAGTTTCTATAGTTTTATATTTTCCATCTATAAAAGTATATGTGCAAGTAAATTTGGATACGGCCATCATAGGTTACAAAAGGAAAGGACGCACTTTAGATATTTACTGACCTTTATCCTTATGTAGTATTGTCTCCTCTATTTTTTCATCTACTTTCCCATGTGAAGGATTGAGTACTCTTGATTTAGTACTCTCCCGTTTGCATTTTATGTGAATGCCGGTACTTCTTACTAACTTAATAAAGACAATTAGTTCAAATTCTTTGGGCTTAATTTCTTCATTCCTGATATCTTTAAAAGAAAAAAGGACAAAACTTCAGTTTAGTGTTCTGTAACACACTTGCCATTCGTTTTTATTTTAAACTAAACCTTCTCTGTAGACTCCATATAAAGACATACAGAATTGCTATTAAAGCACCTCACCCAAAAAAAAAAAAATCAAGTAGTATAAATTACGCTACCTAAGCATTGGAAGAACAGTTCAGATAACCCTAAAATACTGAAATAAATTTTACAAGAAAATTGTTGCTAACAAGTTTAGATTAGTTATATCCTTATTTCTTAGTCTTTAACATATATATCTTAAAATTTGAAAAGAGCAATAGGAAACGGCTTATGAATGTGTTGTGGGTTTTTTTTTTTCCAAGAGGAGTTGGAGGGAATATGGAATAGTCACCTGAGTGGATAAATTTGTATAATTACTATTAACATCAAAATGATCACATTTTTAACCCCTGTAAAATGTTAAGCTTAATGAAACTCACAAATGCCCTTCTAGTTTATTGGATTAACAATTAGGTGAAAACGTTTCAAGAAGGCTTATTTATTTGGGCAGATGCAGAGAGGTCAGAATTAATTTTTTGAAAATCACCTTTTAATTGAATTCCCTTTTAATTTTCACAGTGGTGTCTAGTTAAATATTCATGTTAATGCCGGTGGTTTTCTGACGGTCTGAACTAGATCTGGATTCTCAAAATCAACATAGGTTATTTAACCCTTTTCATCTGGTGCGCCAGCAGGGACTTCCTTAGTGTAATCCCATAGTATTTGAATA